ATGTTGGAACATTGTTTTCTTTTGCTCTTGGTGAAGAAAGTTAGAATGGAGGGATAGGCTTTTGGCAGGCTGACAAGGTCTCTGACTTACATATAAGTCGGTGCGACAAATCGCATTTGGGCATGTTACTCGCAGCCGGGTGATATTGGGCTTGCAATTTCAACTTTAGTAATTTTCCATCCAAGTTTATTACATTAATAAAGTATTGTATTCGAGCTCCGACAAGACTGTCAAAGCTCTAAAAAAAAAAAAAAAAAAAAAAAAAAAATTAATTATATATATAAATATATTCAATGAATATTCAATGAATTATTTGGTGAATAAATTAAATATTCGAATATTCATTTGATGAAAAAAATCTTATTTGAATATTCGAATATTCAGTGAATATTCGAATATTCAGTGAATATTCGAATAAACTATTCATCGGATCAGACCTCTATATATATACTGTATATGTTATTGTTAATATTAGGCCAAACCAATTTAATTCTATAGTTTATATTACTCTCTTTTCTGCCTTCCCCTCACTATATATATAGAAAATTTAGAAATTCTTTTATAATATCATGAACTATTCAAAAAAAGTTTAAATAAACCTAACCCTCTATTTTGTGAAAAGAATGTAATATAAACTACCAAATTAAACTAGTCTGGCTTTAATGTTAATCTCTTCATTTTCTAATGTTAAATTTAGATATTATTAAAATAAATATTACTTTAGCTTATCATTATTGTACTATTATCATTATGTAGATATTATTTAGTAACAAAATAAAATACATATAACTCAGAATTATATGTATGCATGCACACTTAAAAAAATAAAATTTTGATGTAATAAAATGTGTATAACTCAAAAATATATGTTATAATACATGTTAATATACATAATTCAGAATTATGTGATATATAAAATTATTATTATCATTCATAAAAAAGGTTTTAGATAACAATTTAATATGTATTTTAATTACATATTAATATTAATATTAATATTCATTTATTAATATTAAAAATTAAAAATATTCAAAATTTTTATTGAATCTCTCTTTTTTTTTTAAATTGAATTGTCTGGTGGCTTTTAATACTTATTAATATTCGGAATTATGTAAATTTAAAAAAAGTAAAATTTTAATAGGATAAAACATATATAACTTAGAAATATATGCATAATTTAAAATCATGTAATACAGTCAAACCTCCCTATAGTCACCCTCTATATAAGCATATCATATAAAAATTCTCTTTATAAGCACATTTATTTTAAAACTAACTATTATAAACATATAGAAAAAAACTTCTTTATAAGCACATCTTAGTAAAATTCTCTTTACAATTACACAAATCTTTATCCCGAGGGGTGTGATTATAGGGAGATTAGACTGTATATGAAATTATTATTATCATTCTTAAGAAAGGTTTTAAGTAATGATTTAATATAAATTTCAATTATATATATTAATATTAATATTTTTTAAAAATTGAAAATATCTAAAATTTTTATTAGATTCTTTTTATTTTTTTAGATTAATTTGTTTAGTAGCCTGGCTTTTTGTAACAAAAGTCCAAATTATCCATATTTGATTTGCTATAGTAGAGTTTATTTCAATACTTATCTCTTCTACAATTAAAGTAAATAAGTAAATCACTATTTTTTTTAAATCTCTTCTTTTCTAAATATCAAAGCAAGAGGATTTTACAATTCTTGCCTCAAGAATAACAAGTATATAAAAAAAACTAATCTGGAAAAAGAATAGTAAAAAAAAAGTGGAAAGCTCTTAATAGGCTGACAAGGTCTATCCAACTTGTATATACAACAAGTCGCTTATAGGCATGGTTTCTGCAGCTAAGAGATATTAAGCTTGCAATTTAAAAGCTTAGTTTAGTTGAAATAGTTTATTATTGTTGATTAAATAAATAAAGTTTTGTATTTGAGCTTTGGCAAGACTGTCAAAGAATTAAAAAAAAAAAAAAAAAAAAGTGAAAAAACTACAAAACCTAAAATAAAATTCCAATACAAACAAAAAAAAGATAAAAAGATAGAAAAAAAAGAAGAGCAAAGAAAAAAAACAGAAAATATAAAAACACTATTTGTACCAGTGTAAGGCTTTAAAAATTATATAATACTTATAAAGAAATTTCTACTTTTATTTTATTTCTATATAATATATTTAATTTCAAGATAAAGAATATTCAAAATTTTTGTTTACTCTATAAATCTTTACATGTTATTCATTATAGATTTAGATATGTAGAATGTAATTTCCTTATAATAGGCTATTTTTAAATTAAATACATAAGCAATATTAATCTTTTGTAGTAGGTACATCAAAGTTTTCACTTTTTGAAAAAAATTTTAAAAGAAAAACCAAAAAACTTGGTAGGAATATGGAAAGTGGTTTTTAAAATCAGATATTTAAATTTTTAAAGAATGATTTAAAAAAAACTTATTTGTTGTTTTCCACTTTTTTTGCCTTTAGTTGACTTTGTTGATAAATAGCTTCACTTTAACAGAATCAACTCTTCTTTAAAATTTTGTATACAAGAATCCTACCTTCTGCTAGTTATCTTATATCCTAATGCTTTTGGTTTGCATCAATATTGGAAATCTGTTTCAAGATTTGTGTTCTCATGAGAACATATATTTGATTTAGTATTCTCAAAATTTTATTTATATTCTCAACATTTAATTATTAAAATTTATTGATATCCCTATTTTCAGAAAATATCAGACATTTGTTCTAATTTTTATTCCAACCCTTCTTGTATTTTATATTCATTTATTTTCCTTTCAAATAAATTCAGAATTTCTATTTTTATCAGAATTTTGCTTTTATACTTAGAAAACATGCTTTTTCAGCATTATGTTTTCAAATTTTTTTTATAGAGAACATATATAAAATATAAAATATTCTCAAATCTAAAAGGATGTTCTCATGAAAACATGAGAATATAAGATTTCCAACACTGGTTTGCATATCAAATATGTAAAGAAGTTCTCAAATAGTAAAGTTGACTTTTACAAAAACCACCCTATAGTACCTTCAACATTTCCAACAAAATTTTTGTTTTTGTTTGGTGAAAAAATTTAGTACAAGTGATCATTAGAAAGAGAAGTTGGCTTTGAATAAACTATTTTTATTTGAATTTTATAAATTTGTAAAATTCAAATAAAAAAATTTTTATCAAATGTGGTTAAAAATTTACAAAGATATTATTAATAAAGTTTTTAATTTTAAAAAATATTTAAGTAATAAAATTAAAATAATCTATATATATATTGTATATAGTACTGTATTATACAGTATATAAGTAATAATAATATTTTGATTTATTGAAGATTAGTGAAAACGAAGTTTATTCACATATGGATTAGGATATTATTCATTAATCATCCGTGATCTTGGCATAGTAATCGGGGGATTATTATAGCTACAGTATATTTTATAATTTTTATAATAATTCAAAATTTTACTAAAATAATCTCTGTTGTATAACTAAATAAAAATGCATCTTTTGCAATTTTATTTTAACCCTAATCTTAACTCTAATCCTAATCCTAATTCTAACTCTAACTCTACCTAATCTTAAGTGTGTATATAATAATGTTTTTATAAAAAAAATTATTTTTATAGTATAGCTACATGTAGGCTATAGCTACAAATAAATTCTTATACAGTATATTGTAAGATTTTTTTATTAAACTAAATTATAATAACTTTTATATTAGGCGATAAATGCTTTTCTAGCATCTTAGTAAAAAAAACTTGTATGTATAGATTGAGAAAGAAACAAACCTATACTTATTTTTAACAATAAAAAGAAGGGGCGCCCATAAATAACATGAAATACGTATATATAACGTTAATATATACCCTAATATTAATATATATAATTTATATACAGTTACGTATACGTATTGTGCCAGTACATATGTTCGGAATGTTCGAAAATCCCCTATAACCAAAGAAATTCCTGGAATTTAAATTTAATTTGCGTTTTGGCTTGGATTTACAATAATGTTTAAAACACTAACGCTAATTAATTCGATTGCCTAATCGCGATGATCGAGTGACCCAAATACTTGTACGTAAAAAAATTCTCACGTGGCTTTTATGAAAAACGGACATAATTTTGGAGTAATAATTACGTATTGCAATTCAATCATTTTCCAATAACTCGACTTTCCGAAGGAGCTAACGCTAAACACAGAGCGATTTGGGCTCGCTCCTCTCGAATGTTAGAGAATTACTGCTCGGTACGAAATTTTCCTCAACCTGAGTATATCCCATAATAGATCTTTAACTTCCTAAACCAATAATCTGACATTCATATTTCCAATCGAGTTAGACAAGACTTCCCAGATTCTGAACGGCTTTTCTGTATGTTGGGGAAAATATTTATCTATAGAGTATTAAATGTTTAATTATAGCCTTTATTTTATTTTCGCTTAAATTGAAAAACTTCCCTTTACATATTTATGAGAATGAACACAACGGTTCTCACTCACTCTGCACAACTTTCTATAAACGAACTTCGCCAAAACTCACTCGGAAAAGTGAAACCATATCGTAGTACTTCGGATTTGTTTGTCGAATCGGACGATATAACTTTTACACCTTTAGATCCTGACCCCATGCTTGCGGATTTACCTTACACATCCAGCACCGGTTCTGTCAGCGGCTCAACCGTTATTACCAGCCCCGCGCCTTCTTATATGGCCCATCTTCCTTCAAAGTTAAAGTCCTTTTTTAGACTAAGTGGTGGTAACAAAAAAGAATCTTCGATGAATTCCGTTAATGGTGAACATGGTTCCTCCTCATCTTTATCATCCATTTTGTCAAACGATAGTGAAAAGAATTCTGTTAATGATTATGTTCAAAATGAGGGTTCGAAACAAGAAAAAAATAAAACAATCGGATCATTGTTTTTCAAAGATCAAACCAAAAATCAAAAGTTGCGTAGGGTTGCATCAGCACCCAATACTAAAGCTTTGAACGATGCTAACCTTGGAAATTCGCAATATCAATTTTACGGAAATTCCAATGAGAATAATAACGTAAAATTGTCTGTTCCAGTTAGGCCTGTATCAGAAATAAAGCGGTCAGGGACTTTTAAACGGACTTATTCGTCAAATTCGATCAAGGTCAAAAGGGTTGAAGTCGGACCTAGTAGTTTCCAGAAAGTTAAATTATTAGGAAAAGGAGATGTTGGAAAAGTATACTTAGTAAAAGAGAAAAAGACAGGAAAACTTTATGCAATGAAAGGTGCGCTAGTAAGAATGTATTTGAATTTTTACCAAAAAAGGTTATAATTTGGGAGAAAATTGAATTTTTAATACCTCTTAAATTTAAAGTTAACATAATATAATTTTTTTTTTTATATTTTGATTTTCACATTTTAAATTTATAAGTCCTATCAAAAAAGGAAATGATCAAGCGAAACAAAATCAAACGCGCGCTTGCTGAACAGGTTAGTTTAAATATAGTATAATTGATATAATGATAAGTTAGAATGAATTTATAACAAATATACATGAATTGTATAGGAAATTCTTGCTACATCAAATCATCCATTTATTGTCACACTATACCATTCTTTTCAAAGTGTGGATTATTTATATTTATGCATGGAATATTGCATGGGAGGAGAATTCTTTCGTGGTTAGTGCTTATCAATTTGTTTCAAAAAAAAAAACAGTTGAACTATATCCAAACTAAATATTTTCTTAATTTAAATTTATATGATCTATAGCATTACAAACACGGCCAGGGAAATGCTTGCCGGAAGAAGATGCAAAGTTCTACGCTGCAGAAGTTATTGCTGCATTAGAATATTTGCATTTAATGGGATTTATTTATCGAGATTTGAAACCTGAAAGTGAGTGAAGTTTCTGTTAGTGTATCCATGTCTAATGACAATGATACTAATTAATTGTTTATATTTCATGTAATAGATATATTACTGCATCAATCAGGACATATCATGTTATCAGGTTACTATAATGTAATGACCTCATCCTTTTGCATGAGAAATATGTGTTGAATAATATTTACATTTCATTTATGAAAAAAAAATCATAGATTTCGATCTCTCAAAACAATCTCATCCCGCAAATATGCCCGGAATTGTTAAAAATAATTCTGGAAATTCGGTATGTATTAAATGATAATTGCTGAAAAGGAATAGCAATTGTATTATATTATAATTTGTATAACTTTTTATTTCTATAAAGCCGCCAACAATAGATACAAAATCATGTATTGCACATCTTAGAACGAATTCTTTTGTTGGAACTGAGGGTATTTAAGAATTAATATACAACGTTACTCCCTATTCATCATACTCATTCTAAGCCAACTTTTTTTTTTTTTGTTAATAATGCTTATCCAGAGTACATTGCTCCAGAAGGTAATACATCATTCAGGTTGTCGAGTTATTTTTCATTCGTGTCAAAATGTTTTAAATAGAATGTATATATATTGGATTTATTAGTGATTAAAGGTTGTGGACATACAAGTGCGGTTGACTGGTGGACACTTGGGATCCTAATATACGAAATGCTGGTGATTACTGTAGAAAAGTTTATATTCTATATTAAATGTATGAACCTGTCTCTAAAATGTTTTTGCACAATTGATTATTATAGTACGGATTCACTCCTTACAAGGGTCAGAACCGAAATGCTACCTTTTCTAATATATTGAAAAATGAAGCATGTTTTCCGGAAACAGCAAGTGCACAGACAGTATCAAGGTAGCTATGATAGTTATAATTGCGTACGATTATTCAGCTAACATTAATTGGAAATATCATCAATTCTGCTTTACTATTGATCAGTCTTTGTAAAGCATTAATCCGCAAATTGCTGTGTAAAGATGAAAATCGGCGACTTGGGTCTAAGGCTGGGGCATCTGACGTTAAAGCACATCCATTCTTTAAAAGCACACAGTGGGCTCTATTGAGGCATACAACACCACCAATTATACCTCAGCAAAGTTTCGGTACTGATGCCATAAACTTTCGGAATATTCAAGAGAGCATTAGTTTAGATATGGAAGGGGAGAAAATTGCGGTTAATATTAGCGGTGATAATCCCTTTGAAGAATTTAATAGTGGTAATTGTTTGTTTTATTTGTTCATTTATTTCATAAAAATTCACTCGAGTATACATTATTTTATTTATTTACTTTTTTTAGTAACGCTACATCATGATGGTGATGATGATATATAAACTTTTTATTATCTGAAGTGAACGAGGGTCTTTTGGTTCTAGGCATTGTGAATGCAGGATCATGCAATGTCCAGCAAAATGAAATTTTGTGTTGTGTAGGATGTGAGAGCTACGGGATGTTAACACAAACAAGCCGTAAAGAAATATAACAAAATAAAAAACGTTGGTAATATCAAAAATTTTTTTGCAATTTATATCGAATAGAGGTCTGTCAAGTAAGATATAATACAAATTAAAGATAGCCACTAATTTAAACCCTCACTATCCTTGTTCAATTTTTTTTTATTTAAAATTTATCAATATTTTTTAGAGAAATTAGATGACTACACTTAACAATTAGTTAACAAATTGGATTTTAGAAATGTAAGATGTTAGGCATTAAAATTTATTAAGAACATGTAAAATTGAAGCACCGCATGAAATAAATTTTAATAGTGAATACAGTATTATAGCTCTGCAATTTTATTGTTCGAATCCGAAATTGGGAATCAGATGTATATTTGATGAAAAATTGAAACAAAGTAATTTATGATATTTGTATTAGATAAAACGTTAGTGTAGAACGGTTCGAATATTACTACTGAGAATTTTGGAAGCCTATTATATATTATATATATATATATAATAAGTAATACGATTATATCGTGATCTGCGTGATTATAATTGTATAGAGCGTAGCGAAAGATTTATAAAAACGTTTGGGCTTAGAAAAAGAAAATATTTTGCTGGATTTAGGGGAAGACTCCAGTCACATGGTCGACCAATCAGCATTTAAAATTCCGGTACTAGTAAAACGTATAATAACGATTAAGTTTTGTAAACTCCGCTAGTATTATTGTTACTCAGAGTTTGGAATCGATGAGTTCGGCATCAGTGAAAAATTTTAACCGAATATTCGAGTGTTATTAAATTGTCAAATATTTATCAATTGCACTATATGAAATATATTAAATTATTTATTATACAATTTGTTTATATGAACTTGTATACACTGTATACAAAAACAATCCATATATTAATCCTAAATATTAGAAATAGTGATGGGACATCGAGTTTTTAGTTATTAATAATAATAATAAATTAATAATTTAGTTATTAATATTATTAATCATTATTAATAATTTCAAAAATTCCTGTCACAAAAAATCGTAATGAAATGATAATCATAAACGAAGAAACTATTCCAACGCGTAGGTAGTTTATTTTTGAATATATTTTTATATTTATCAATGTAAAATAACACTTTTTAGATAGCTTTTGATTGATTTACTGCGCTTACATTATTGTAGGTAATATATTATTGCGGTTTGCAAAAAAATGTGAAATTTGCAGATCAAAAAAAAAAAAAGTAATCGATGATTTCTGATTCTGATTGCCGATTTTTTTAACATTTTTTTGCAGAAATAAAAGTTG